CGTTTTTTTAGCGAGTTAGTTTTCTACGGGATGTGGTCGTTAACCCCATGCCCAACCCTCCTCCTTTATCCGGGCTTGGGACTGGCAGTAGCCCCCGGAGGGACGCCAGGAGGAGTTTTAAAAGAATTTAGTTTTGATAATAAATTTTGGATAGTTATAATGATTAAATGATGTTAATCAGTACTATTTATTATATTTCCAATAGATTACATAGTTATATATAAAAGTAATTTGTCATATAGATAAATTGAAATATAAGAATGAAACAAAGATAATATGGTGAACGATGTAAAATTATACAATTCCAGATAATAAATTATAATTACAATATTAGGTCTAGTGTAAGTATAAAGTATAAGCAATGATAGATTGTGACTAGTAGTGGAATCCAGGACATGTGTTTCGTCTTATTTAGGACTCGTCAAATAAACGATAGAAAATGAATTTAAACTTCATCCCATTACATAAGCAAGGGACTATCAGGATTCAATAGCGAACGGTAATGGGTTCGAGTCATGGAGTGAATATCAACTCAGGGATTCATGTATATTCAGTTGACAAGTCTCAAATAGGATGAAACATATGTACTAGATTCCACTACTAGCTACTATCCATCTTTACTTATAATGCTTATGAATTAAGGCAATATCGAGGCAATCCGCACAGTATGTAGATATGCTAATAAGAGACTGATCAATTACAGTTCTAAACATCAATGGGGATATTCGAATAAACAATACCAAGTAAATATCGAGACGAGTTGTTATTTCAAATGAATAACCAAAATTGATTGTGTATTAAAATAAATTGTTGGATCGTCTGGAACCAATACAATGAAAGAGCTATGTTAGATGATTAGTTGAGTTTGATAGAAAGTTCTATTCAACATGGGTTTCATAGCAGCTAGTATTTGTCTACAAGTAGTATCTTTAAACTTAAGGCACCATTGAAGACCAACCAGAAAAGTTACCATTAACCTATTCGAATCTCAAATGAATTTTTGTAGAACCCTGATCATAGACTATTGATTGATTCTCGAGTCTTTCGACTCGATAAGAAACCCACTCATTCACTTTCAGTGGATCCAAATAGTCTGGATGTAATGAATTATCTTTCCAGTATAGTGACAGTCTTCGTTGATTTACAAATTTATATCAGTTTATGTTGAGAACTCATCAATGAGACATTTGTGATGTTAGCACCGTTGGATGTCGGTTCAGTGGTCTAATGGTCAAGCGCTCGCGTGTGAGACCTGGTTCGAATCTCGGGGGGGGGCGGTATCATGGACGCGCACTGCTGAGGAGTATCATACTAGGATAAAACGGCCGTCCAGTGCTTCCAGGTTTTCCGTGGTGGTCTACCCCCAATTGACTCATGATCTCAACTATTGAAATATGGTAATAAGCTAACCAAAGTTTGGTAATATACACTTCAAAAATAGATTTCAATTTACATTCACATTTTTTATAAACAAAGATCAGACTGAAGGACTTTCATTATTATTACCAATTCACAAACTCATCAAAATGACATGATTCAACCATATTTTGAACTAAGACAGTAAATCAAATGAAAATAAGAGACCCTAGTGATCTTTTTAATCCATCCATATGGGTGACCAGCTCTGATTTGTATATACACTAGTGAATCCACATAAAGATATCATTGAGAGAAAAAGTTCTGTTCTAATATCAGGTTACAATATAGATATTATTGAATTAGTATCAATGTTTTTAAATAATATTATTGATGTATTTTGTGAATTGAATATGAGATAACTACCTATTTAAATCATGTGAACTTTCTACTATAATACACTACTATGTTTCTGCAACTATTTTAATCATTAGGTAATAGTCTATAACAATTCAATTAGTATTCTATTCTCACATTGAATACTGATTTACTCTCTACTTATAGAGCTGAGTGATAATAGCCAAATTAGAAAATGAGATAAAGGCTGGTAGATAATTAAAAGATGGCATCATTCCATAAAGTCAACTACACTATAACATATAGTTTTATAAGAAAGTGGCAGAAACCGGGTAAATTCTAATTTTCAGTAGTTATCCTTAAGTGAATGAAGTTTTATGGTTGTTTTGCTGGTGTATAATATGTCACAATTGTTTTTCTGATTGTATGTCTTACCAATAGTAGATTTAATCACAAGTTCTTTTTTTTTACTTGTAATATTTTCAACCAAGTGAAGATAACAATCATTTCATAACAACAGGATATCAGTTACTGCCTAAATCACTCAGTGATGATGTTTCATACAATGAAGCTGAGTAGTGAAGTGAGTTAGAATCATAGAGAAAACAATAATACCCTCAAGATTACAAATAACTCTTGATGATGAGTAACGACTACCCTTTCTCTTTCTTCTGGTGATCGACTAGATCATGAAGACATCAACCTCTGAAGGGAGACACGGGATACAGTGGATATCTAGGATGCAGCTGGACGATCTAGACTTCGCAGATGATCTGGCCCTCCTATCGCAATCGGAACAACAAATGCAGGAGAAAACGATCAGTGTAACAGCAGCCTCAGCAGCAGTAGGTCTCAATATACACAAAGCGAAAAGCAAGATTCTCCGATACAACACAACATGCACCAATCCAATCACAATTGACGGGGAAGATTTGGAAGATGTAAAAACCTTTACGTATTTGGGCAGCATCATTAATGAACATGCTGGATCTGATGTAGATGTGAAAGCGCGGATCGGTAAAGCGAGAGCATTATATTTACAACTAAAGAACATCTGGAACTCAAAACAACTGTCAATCAACACCGAGGTCAGGATTTTCAATACAAATGTCAAGACAGTTCTACTGCATATGGGGGAAACCTGGAGAACTACGAAAGACATCATCCAGAAGATACAGGTGTTTATTAACAGTTGTCTACGCAAAATACTTCGGATTCGTTGGCCAGACACTATTAGCAATAACCTACTGTGGGAGAGAACAAACCAGATCCCAGCGGAGGAAGAAATCAGGAAGAAGCGCTGGAAGTGGATAGGACACACATTGAGGAAAGCACCCAACTGTGTCACAAGACAAGCCCTCACATGGAATCCTGAAGGTCAAATGAAAAGTGGAAGACCAAAGAACACATTACGCCGGGAAATGAAGATAGACATGAGAAAAATGAACAAGAATTGGATAGAACTGTAAAGGAAGACCCAGGACAGAGTGGGTTGGAGAATGCTGGTCGGCGGCCGATGCTCCATTAGGAGTAACAGGCGTAAGTAAGTAAATAAGTAAGTAAGATGGGTAACAACTAGAACGAAACTTAAATTAAAATTTTATTGTTAACTACTTTTAACCATCTAACATCCCAGTTTAGTATTTGTATTTTCTAGTCATTTAAGCTAACGTTCATTTTGAAACTTGTTCCACAGAATCCGATTAGTATAAAGGAATATTCAAACATTACACTATTCACTCCTCAATAATCAATTAATTGTAAACAATTAGATTACTCAAACCATGTACCGAAAATAATAATGTTATGGGTCTGGTACTTCTGATTATGTAATCACGTGAATGATTACTCAGACTAAGCTAAGTACATATGATTGATCATTTGTTATAGAATTTGAGCATTTTTAACAGGATGGGAATTTCTCTGACACATTGATTGTGTATAAAAAATACTATGAAAAAAGTCAGAGAATATATTTTTAATAGTTTATAAGATAACCATTTCCTTCATCATTTCCAGAAGTATTTATTTATCAGTATAGGATTGTGGAGATTGTTGAGTTTTGATTGATGTCATGAATGGACTAATGTTAGACCATCAATGAAAACCTGAAAGCAATGGACGGCCGTTTCGTTTCGCCCACCGGTCTATAGGTTAAGTGTTCATTCGTGAGACCGAAGATATTCAGTTCGAGTCCCTCTGGTGCACGATCGTGGATTCGCACTATTGAAGAGTCCCATATTAGGATGAAACGTCTGTCCAGTGCTTCCAAGTTTTCAGTGGTAGTTTAACATTGATCCATTCATGATATCGAAATAATTATTTATCAAATACTGAGCAAAGTATTTATTTATTAAAATACACTACCTACATCATACATATATATCTTAGAAATATAAAATGATTTAATGAATAGAATATTATATTGGAATGATGATGAATATCTTGTAACGTCTGTTAGAAATTAACATTTTTGCTCACCCATCACCTTGACTAACATTATATTTTGATTGGGATCATGAATTGATCACTGTTAGACCAACATTGAAAACCTGGAAGCACTGGACGGCAGTTTTGCCCTTATATAGGACTCCTCAACGGTGTGCATTCATAATCTCGCAAGCTGAATTTGAATCCAGAACCTTTGGTATCGTGCGTGAACGATTAACATTTAGACCGCTGAGTCTTCATCCAGCGGTATTACTGTCTAACTTCAACCAGTCCACGATATTGCATGACTGTACACCATTGTCTTTGGTGGGTAACTGCTTCCCACCTGACACAGATTAGCTCCATTGGTCACAGTTTCTCACACGATTTTTCTTAATTTAAAGGATAGAATTATCAACTTTGAACTCCATCTGTTAATATGTCAGCTAAATGTTCATTACTTAGTTTTATAAACCACAATAGATGGGTTTGTGTTCAAACCTTCATTATCAATAATTGGAATTTAAATACTTTTTAATCACTAAACTATTATTTCATTAAATTTTATGCAACTCAATCGATACAAGAATCAAACAATTCATTAATTCTTACAATGAAATGACATTCAACCATTGAAGCCTATGGTAAATACCACTAAACCAGAGCACATAAACTCCAGCACAAACCAAGGTGAATGCTTCATTCTATATTTTTAGGTCATGATTATGATCCTTTCATAGGTACGATGAAATGACAACCAAATTGAATTCATTGAAACTTTTTACTTAATAATACTTAGTCGTTCTTTTTAAAAAAAAGCAAAAACAAATAAACATTCATTTTACTAGACAACTTACCGGTATACCATCCATGATGTCGATCCACTAGACAATTGATAGTTTTATAGGAATAATTTCTATATATTCTCTGATCATCATCATTTAATGAATTTTCATTAGAATTTTCTGGTTTATCCTTCTTGATCATTACTGTTAAGGTAATTTACTACGATTACTACTACAATAATAATAATGATAATAAAGAGATAAATTGAGTAATTTCCGAAATATGAATGGTTTTATGTGAATATCCTTTCACTACATTTTGTTGTCGTTGTTGTTGATTATTAATGAAGTGTTTAAAGGTCACACTATATTATTACTGCAAATGAATTTAGGTTAATACTTTCAAGTGACCAATCAGAATTAAGGATCTATTTCATTGATTGAAAAGTAATAATAGCATGTAGAGAGAGAGAAAAAAAAAAGAAATAACTGATAAAGATTTTCTAAGAGGTGAATTGGTGATTAATCTTATTTACATTCAGAAGGGATTTTTGTGGATATTATAGTAATTTCTTTTATTAATCGAGATCATGAGTTAATTGAAGCTAGACCATAATGGGAAACCTGAAAGCATTAGATGATCGTTTCGTCCTATTGTGGGACTCATCGGCAGTGTGCAACCGTGATCTGGCCTTGCGAGATTCGAATCCAGGACCTATCAATCTCGCGTTTACATTCTTTAGATGTGAAATTTTTCTATCAAAATGTAATTACTATAACATAAGTGTTATTTTTTCTTAAAACTGAGTATCTAGTAAGAGATAGATAATGGTTAGCAGTGGAATTTAGGACACGTGTTTAGCTTTATTGAGGACTCGTCAGTTGGATGTACCTGTATCGCAGAGCTGATGTTCACTCTGGGCCTGAAACTCAGTACCATTCACTTCAAATGCCATCGCGTTATCAATTTCAGTCTTAAAAATTAATGGGAAATTCAAGTAAACAATACCAAGTGAATTTCAACTTCACCCCATTTCACAAGTATGGGACTATCAGGATTCAATAGCTAACGGTACTAGGTTCGAGTCACGGAGTGAATATCAACTCAGGGATTCATGTATATTCAGTTGACAAGTCTCAAACAGGATGAAACACATGTACTGGATTCTACTGTTAGCCATCATCATGATCATAGATTAGTAATTAATTATCGAGTCGAAAGACTCGATAAGAAACCCACTCATTCACTTTCAGTGGATCCAAATAGTCTGGATGTAATGAATTATCTTTCCAGTATAGTGACAGTCTTCGTTGATTTACAAATTTATATCAATTTATGTTGAGAACTCATAAATGAGACATTTATGATGTTAGCACCGTTGGATGCCGGTTCAGTGGTCTAATGGTTAAGCGCTCGCGCGCTAGACCGATAGGTCCAGAGTTCGAATCTCGGGGGGGGGCGGTATCATGGACGCGCACTGCTGAGGAGTCCCATACTATGATAAAACGGCCGTCCAGTGCTTTCAGGTATTCTATGGTGGTCTAGCTTCAATCGACTCAAGATTTCAACTATTTGTGATATTGTTGGTGTGGATAATGTCAAACATATAATCATATCTATAATTGACTAATATTCATTAAAATTGTAATTGTTGTCTCTTATGATAGAAATTTTTGCTTTCATAATCAAGCAATGTAACTCATTCATTTGACACTATTATTAGATGAATTAACCTATTTATAACAATGAATACATAATGATCTTACCATTAATAGGTCAATTTTGACGTGAATATTTGTGAGATAGGATATGTTGTGCAGTGTTTTGTTCTATTCTACATTATAGGTGTAAACCATAGCCTTTTGAAAAAGGGAACACCCAAAAATATTTCGCCGCAAGTGTTTTCGGAGAAAAGTCCGTGTGTTGTAGACTGACTAAGTGAGTGATGTGAAGTTTAAACATAGGGTACTAGAAGAAGATTGTAAATCAGTTGATAAAGTATTGAATATTCATCAACTGAGGTGATTGGTACATAAATTCCATATGACCAGCAACCATCTACTTTGACACTCAATGTTTATTGATATAGTAGTTTGAAAGAAAGCTATGGGAGACCAAACTAAATATGACATCAGTCCATGAAGTCATTGACTGTTGGAGTGAGTCTTGTAAGTAGATGAACACTACTTGATTGGGGTACACGCAGTTATCTTAATCAGTTGTTGGAACCGTTTAGTGACATGGTTTATAATCTACCATAATAGTGAGCATGAATTTGCTCCCTGTCTTCCATTGGATTTATTTTAAAATTATCTTATATCTTTTATTCCATAAATTCATGACTTACTATCAAATCTATGTTTGAAAATATTACGAGATCACTTAAATAAGAAACGGAACGACGGTTCACACAACACAAAGACAAGACAAGCTAAACTATTCCACTGAGCATTATCCCTGCTAGCTAGAGGGAAAAAACCAGGTTCAGCAGAGTAAAAGGTATATTCCACAAGTAGTCAGAAGCACGAGAGAAACAAGCACACAACTCAAATACAACATAAAAAGATCTTTTGCAAACGACAAAAAATGGCATTCTTAAAGAGGTACTGAACCAATGACATTCAAGGTCCTTCCAAGTGGGAAATATAGTATGAAAAAAGACGCTTTTGATGCAAAGACGAGAAATTCAAATTTCCAAAATAAAATTACAAAAATAAGACTTTTATCAGGTGATTTCTGGAGATTCACCATTCTCAACAGAATAATAATGACAGTAACTAATCTTTCACACAATCACTGTTATTACTACTTTCACCGTCAAGTATTCTTAATCATTAATATAAACTTAATACACAACTGTTAAATACCTAATTAGTGAACTATTTAGGTTTACCCTAATGTCTTGAAAGTTAATTATAATTCAAAATGTACGGTAGTTGGTCGTTTTTGTTGCATAAGAGATAAGTTGATTGACGGATATTTATTGAAAAAAACCCATCAAACCATGCCGTTAAATTTTAAGGGTTCTAGTTTCTAGTGAGTGAGGAGGATGGATCTCCCCAGAGGTTGAAGACAAGCCCCACCAAAGGGTAACCATCACAAAATCCGAAATTTCTTATGGTTTATTTCGAATGTCCGGACATCGAATATAATATTTCCGAATGTTGAATCACTTGTAAACTAGACGAATTGAAATTAGTCAGTAATTAACAACCATTGAGCGATATGGGGGTTGTACAGATTGGTTTTTACTTCGATCACCAACCGGTCTATGTCAGACAACCACTGAAAAGCTGCAAGGATTGGACAAACTTTTCTTTCTACTATGGACATACATTACGCAAATCGTCAAACTGCATCACGAGGCAAGCCCTAACTTGGAATCCTGAAGGGAAGCGAAAAAGAGGAAGGCCAAAGAACACATTACGTCGGATAATAGAAGCAGATATGAAAACGATGAATTACAACTGGACGGAGCTAGAAAGGATTGCCCAGGACAGGGTTGGATGGAGAATGCTGGTGAGCGGCCTATGCTCCTTCACGAGGAGTAACAGGCGTAAGTAAGTAAGTATGGAACTCCTTGGCGCGAAACCGAAGGTCTTGCATTCATTTCTCAGCGGCAGGGTCGTGGGTGTGCACTTTTGAGAAGTCTCATACTTCAACGAAATAGCTCTCCAGTGCTTCAAGGTTTCAATGGTAGTTTACCTTAGATCGGTTCATGAACTCAATAAAAATAACCAAACAGTTAGAGGTAAATTACTGTAAAATGAGTTTACTTATTTGCGTAATCGATTGCAGTAAGGAATATGTTTGATGAGATGGATACTGTCTTATTTGTGATTTTATGACTGTCACAGGAAAACTATCAAACCTTCAAACCAGAATTTTCTGTAAAGTCGTCTGCATAATACTTATTTCAAAAACGTTTAATTTAGTTCCATACAGAACAAAATGTTTTAAATAAATATTTGTTGACCCCTTCAGTATAACTGCTCTAAATCATTAATCAGACCAATATCAATAGAGAAATGAATTGATCTTAGCAGTGACTCAATGCATCTATCAAAATTGCAATTGCAAACGACACTAGTAACAAGATCATTAGTCTCACTATTTGAATGTAACTTATTTCTCAAGCGAATTTTATATACTTGGCAATGAAGAATATTATCCATGTGAAATATATGATGATACCAACGGATTGTCTCAATCATTATTACGATGTTCGACATTATGATCTGACAGTTGAAAGCCAATGAACCACTATTCCATTTGTTAATCAATAGTGAAATTCCAATAATGTTTTTTGATGACCTTGTTAAAAATGTATTTTTTTTACATTATTTTTTTGTACGATTATATATTTTGACATTGACCTTGTAAGTACAGAAGTACGTTTTTAGTCATTTATTAAATAAATGGATAGTATTTCAATTTGTTTAGATTTTATTTTGACAGTTCTTCCAGCACATCCATTGTCATATTCAATTGAAGGTCTGTTAATGTTAATTTCGTTCAAAATGCACATTCGCCAACAGAAATTGTACAGAAGTATTGAATAAATTCTCATTAGAGGAGTCCTAAACTACAACAAAACAGACTTTTGATACTACTAGGTTTTTAATGGCTGTATAATTTAAGTCGGTTCTTGTTCTCAATAAAAGACTGATTAATTGTAGTCCCCAATATAAACAATATTGGATTATAAAACATTATTACCATCTTTACATTCATCGAACAAGCTAATATATGGACGTAGTGTTGTGTATGCTACTTATATGGACAGATATTAGTAGTATGTTACGCCAATTAGAAGTGGAATGACTATCAGCAGAGGATTGTATTGAAGAGAAGAGGAATGGAAGCAGAGAGCAATTGTAATAGATACATAACTGAAAGGATCATGAAGCATGTAAAAGATAATTGAAGTAAGATGTACAGACAATCTATTTAATGTGTGGTTTCCATATTTTACGAAAGCACTCTAATTTTGCATTTAATAATGAATTGATTAACCTCACTAAGGTTTTGTTCACTACAATAGTAGCTTAGCAGATAACGCTTTGGGTTTCTGAAACGATTGGCAGTGGACTCGAGTTTCAGTCTGGATATCAACGCTGGAGTGCAGGTTCACCCAGGTGATGAGTTTGAAATAAGACGAAACGTGCGTCCTGTTAGTTATATAAAAAGCACAATAAACC